CCTTGAGGTGTATTATAAATACTGGTGTTAGCCCGCGCGGTGTATGGATTGCGCAGCGATGGTGTATCGTTACAATGTCGTTTCGTTGCCCGTGTAAAACTGTCTATGGGCCGGCGTGAGCATTGCGGAATAACGCTGCGCGGCGATATATTGCTTGCGTGGCGCTTGTGTAACGTTCTAACTGCCTGCATACGTGTATTATCCGATATTGCGGGTCGGCGTGTGGCTTGTGTTGCCCGCAGTGTGTGCTATTCGCTGTTGCGCTAGTGCGGGCATTCTGTGCTACAATTTCACGTAAATCAGCTATCTGCTATTCTACGACGGCCATGATACCCGTAGATATCTGTACACTATCGATTACCTTCTGTTTATAGCTCTAATAATTCAATTCCAATCAAGTGGACGCCAATTTGGCCCGCCATTTCTACCGCCTTAGCAAACGTCGTCGGCCTTATTCTTAACTAAAGTCCGTCGTATACTTCTCACTGGCTAAACCCCATCTAGTAGAATGCGTCAATGATGTCGTTCATTTATTGATTAACATGCTAATTTAAATTTATCCGCTAAGCCTATCCTAGCTAACGCTTCTAATCTCTTAGCAAAAGGCTGGTACACTCTCGTTGCTTTTCTGCTCGGAGCGTTTAAATTTCTGTTATGGCTATAGGTTTAGCCGAAGTTCTCCCATAACGTTTCGTCGAATATTTTTAACACGTCACTCCACATCGATTGCGGGCGGACCGACATAATCTCGCGAGCAGGTATCAGCGGTTCGCCTGTGGCCGTCAACAGACGTTAGAGCGACTCTTACTCGTCGCTGTGATTCATTCTCATCAAATTATAAAAAGCTGTTGTAAGCGTTAATAACATTGTCCAAAATTCGTGTCATTCGAGGGATTCCACAGTCTGATTGGCCAGTGCCCCAGTCGGTCAAGCCATGCTAACAGATGCGCGTGCTGTTATTTGGCTTGGTTTACGCGCGATACTCTCTGCTTCCACGCGTGGACCGTTTGACCACGCGTTCTTACTCGTGGTCGCCGCGTACGGCTCTTTTTTCGACCCAACCACATCACATGCCGCGGGTCACAGGTCGTCCTACGCGGGCGGGTCAAGTCGCCACCTTAGCCTCATTAACGTTTCTTAATAATATTACAAATTATTTTACTCGTCCTACATATTAATTCTGTGTTTACAACAGGACTTCGAGCTTAGTGACAGACAGCTTACTCGCATCGTATAATCTGACTTCGAGACGTATAGAGGTTATTTTAAAAACAGCCCAAAAAATTACTAGATGCCCAGACTTCAGGAATTTGCGGACGGTTTGCAAACTATTTTCATAGGTGCTTAAACCGCCTCAGGAGATTGTGCAGCATGCGCAGTTTTACGGGTTTTAGAGCGGTACTGCTTGTCAGTTTATTTCTACCATACGAATGATGATCGCTCCGACACCAACTTACGACAGACTGAAGTGGGCTTCCTGTGATCATGCTGGACAGATTGCAGATACTTTATGACGGTGAGACGCGAGGATCGCCCAGCATATCACAGATGATAATTCCACGCGGGATTTAGGGTGGCTTGGTTAGTGGAGGTATAAGTCCCGTCCCTCTGCAGACTCGAACCGACGCGATTCGAGACAGACCTGGTTAGCGGACGCTAAGGCCGGGTGCTAGCAAGGTTACTAACGTCCATATGTCTATCGATGTTAATATGCGGGCAACGTACAGAAAGATTGCCCGTCAATTTGGAAAGTGCTAGGGTGCGATACGCAAGAGCCTCGCGGCTAAGTCAGTGAGGTTCGTGCAGCCATCGACGCGGATGCCGGCTAAGTTTGAGCAGGGGCATTCACCAGAACCCTCTTATTGCGATTGTAATGGGGGAGACATTCGTAACAGCTGAGATAGACACTGGGGCTAGGGTTTCACTGTATCACTCTTCTCTGGTTAAAGCCTTGGCGAAGAGCCTTCGCAAGATTCCGCGGAATTCTCTTGAGAGGGTTTTTGGTAGGCTAGGTCGGGGAGTGGGCTTATCGAGCTCGAATTCCGACTCGCTGAGCGCAGTTTTTGCACGTTATTTTGTTGTAGCATGAGTTGCGATTTGACGTACTGCTGGGCATGATTTTCTGTAATCTGTCAGGTTCTTAGTGTAGACTTTTGTCCGGCAAGTTTACTATGTTAGGCCCTTTTTAAGACGTTTCGCACAGTGATTCATTTTCCATTGCTGCAGATTGCTCTGCGACGTAGCGGATGAGATTAGTTACGCCATAGCCCGCCTCATCTAGGGCGTATGATCCGCTGATGCGGGTATACGATTGAGCTATGGGCGACTGCCCTTGTTTGAGTCCACTTTAGAATATTTCGACCCCCCTTCGGGCTTCATCGTTTTGTTGAGACTCCCACCGTGCGAGTGCGTTACAAGCCTCCCCGTGGAGTGCGTGAGACTCCCCGTGGAGTGCGTTGAGACTCCCCCGTGGAGTGCGTTGCGACTCCCCCCGTGGAGTGCGTTGAGACTCCCCCCGTGGAGTGCGTTGAGACTCCCCCCGTGGAGTGGCAACTTGAGACTCCCGTAGAGTGCGTGAGACTCCCGTGCGAGTGTGATTATACTCCCCCGCCGAAGTTCTGTGGTAAACTCCCCCTGGCGGAGCTTGGTGGAGGGCTCCCCCCGGCGGAATCCGCGTTGCAGACTCCTGTTTCGCGGCACGAGGACAGTGGGGCACAGCTGCTGGCGGACGCCTCGATCGCATTTTTTTTCAATATGCGATGTCCTCATTAATCAACTAGGGTTTACCGCGGTGTCAGTCTGTTGTTGATACGGGCGACGTTCGCCATTCGTCAACAGTCGTACGCAATGGCTGGACCCAAAGTGCGAAAGTTTGCAAATAACCAGGTTGGATTGCATGTTGCGAGACGGCATTGTTGAGCCTCTTTGTTATCGGCATTGGTGCAGGCCCTTCTTAATGGTGCTAAAGAAGGGATCGAACATACCGTCTGCTGCATTGATTTTCGCCTGACTTTAACAATGGTAAACTAAATGCCGATGCTTACAGCCTGGCCAGAATAGACGACATTCTTGCCCGCTGCATGTTCACGGTCTATTCAACCTAGATATGACATCTGGTTAGTGCAGATGGGCCTTGTCTACTCGCGAGTCCAGGAGAATGTCAGGCATTTATTTCGCCGCTAGGTCTTCTAGAATTTACCGTTTGGCCTTTCGGCCGTATGTTAATGACCAAGCAGTGTTTCAAGGATTATGGAAGGCGTTCTTTAACCCCTGTCTTTACCGGAATTGCTTATGTTTTGTCTTGATGACGTCATCGTTTTCTCACCAGAGGTGAGATCACACTTGCTCAGATTTACGTGAGGTTCTAGAGTTTCAGGGTAGCGGGGTTACAGGAATCCGGGAATAGAGACGGGTTTTGCCAGCGAAGTGTGAAGTACGTGGAGCATTATATATTCCGCATCTGCATTTCAGCCAAACCCGTGATAAGCTGCAGGCTATCAGGCGTATTCCCACGCCACGTATCTGAAGGAATTGGAACGTTTTTAGCATTTTATTTCGGGATATTCGGAGATAGCGGAGCCATTGCTCGTTTGGACGGGATAAAGGTAATTGGATGTGGTCGCATGTGCAGAGTTAAGGCGTTTGGTGCGCCTTGCAAGGGTCACGTGCTTGAGATTACGACTATGTCGCTGCCAGATTTCATCGACCTTTAAACTAGCATGTGATGCAAGCAATTTGGGTTCGGTTGCGCAGTTGGCCCAGAGTCTCGGTGGATGTGGTTACGAATTCATCGCATCGGCAGTAGCACGTTACTCACACCGGTCTTGAGCGAACTACAGTAAACAGGAAGAATGCCTGGCTGGTTATTTGGCCTTTGCAAGCGATTCAGGCCCTACGTAGAGAATATGCTTTGACCGTCTACAGTGATCACCGTGCTTTAGCTTGGTTTTTTATCCAAAAAGCTTGACCAGGTAGACTGCTGCGCTGGTCTGTCAGTAACAGGATATAAAGTTCACAGGGTTGTGTAAAGGACAGGGTAAATGCAATGCTGCTTCCGGATGCCTTTTCCAGGACTCAGGGCCAGAGGGTGCTCACATAGCGGTGGTTAGCTATTGCATGATAATGTGAGTGCTGAGATCTGCGACGGCCACTAAGCCGCGTCAATTGTCATGAGTACGTGTGATCGCCTGCTGATCGCTGGCTCGGCATGTGTTGTGCCTCAGGTAGCAGCCGGAGGTTTGTCGAGTT